ACCCCCTCCGGAAAGAACCTCTCCAGTGGTGTATGCCTCGTCATAATCCACAAAAACAACCTTTCTTCTTGTCCTTCCGAAGAATTCATTCAACCCTCTCTTCGTCGTCCACTTCCAACACTCTTTTCTGGTGGGCTTTTTGAATCCCTTCCACTCGCCCGGATTTCTATTAGTTCGTTGCTCGATTTGTACCGAGCCCGACCGTTGTCTTTTTTTTTCAGTTTCCCCTCCATCTTGATTTTCGCTCTCGCTTGCGATTCCTGGTGCTGTTTTCCGCATACGGCAACATGAACGTCACTCAGGTTTTGGAGAGCACCCTCTCGCCAGGTATATTCTACTATCCCCTCCCCGCCCCCATCTGTTGCAAATCGTCTCGAGGAGCAGTCGGTTCCCCGTCCGGGGTTGTGGCAAGGTTGCTGATGGTCGTTCTTGCTGTGTACCATAGATGCGGCTGCACGTACAAATGCCGAACAGCAGCTCGCCCATGCGGCTGAGGTTGACTTCGTAAGTTCCCTTACCTGAAAGTGCCAGCCATCATGCTGTGGTCGCGTTCCAGCTTACTGACCGCTGATCTCCCTGTTCGATAGGCTCAATATCTTGTTACCTTGGGTCAAGAATTAGCAAACGACAACACCCCGTCCCACATCAGAACCGCCGCCGGTCTCGCGTTGAAGAACGCTTTCACATTCAAAGACCTCGCTAAGCTCCGCGAGGTCCAACTTAAATGGCTACAGCAAATTACCCCAGAAATCAAGGCCCAAGTCAAGGAACTTGGCCTCAAGACGCTCGGCTCGAAAGATGGTCGGGCCGGCCAGTCGGCCGCCCAGGTCATCGTTTCCATCGCCGCCATCGAGCTCCCCCGGAACGAATGGCCCGATCTGATGCAGATCCTGGTTCAGAACATCGCGACCGGCTCTGACCAACTCAAGCAGGCCTCCCTGGTCACGATCGGCTTCATCTGCGAATCTCAGGACCCCGAGCTCCGCGAGAGCTTGGCTGCCCACTCCAATGCTATCCTCACCGCCGTTGTTCAGGGTGCTCGCCGCGAGGAGCCGAACATGGATATCCGCTTCGCTGCTATCAAGGCCCTCAGTGATTCCGTCGACTTTGTGCGCTCGAACATGGAGAACGAGGGTGAGCGGAACTACATCATGCAGGTGGTCTGTGAGGCGACTCAGGCCGACGATCTCCGTGTTCAGGCTGGTGCATTCGGCTGTCTTAACCGTATCATGGGTGCCTACTACGATAAGATGCGCTTCTACATGGAGAAGGCCCTGTTTGGCTTGAGTATCATGGGTATGAAGAACGAGGAGGAGGATGTTGCCAAGCTCGCGATCGAGTTCTGGTGTACAGTTTGCGAGGAGGAAATTGCTATCGAGGATGACAATGCTGCGGTACGTTCTACAATATGATCTCCAAACTGTGAAGTCAATTCGGGCATCACTAACGATTATTGCAGGCCCAAGCTGAGGGTATCCCTGAGGTCCGCCCATTCTTTGGCTTCGCCCGTGTCGCTTGCAAAGAAGTCGTTCCCGTTCTGTTGCAGGCTATGTGCAGACAGGATGAGGATGCCGGTGATGATGAATACAACGTAGCACGTGCTGCTTACCAGGCCCTGCAGCTCTACGCTCAGTGCGTTCAGGGCGATGTCATCCCCCCCGTATTGGCATTCATTGAGGCGAACATCCGTAACGAGGACTGGCGTCACAGAGATGCTGCGGTTGCGGCATTCGGTGCCATCATGGATGGTCCTGATCCCAAGGTTCTGGAGCCTTTGATCAAGCAGGCTCTGCCTGTCCTGGTCGGCATGATGCAAGACAGCTCTATCCAGGTCCGCGACTCAGTTGCTTATGCTCTCGGCCGTGTCTGTGACTATTGCTCTGAGACTCTTGACCCTGAGGTGCATCTGGAGCCCTTGATCTCTTGCCTGTTCAATGGTCTTGCCAGCTCCCCCAAGATCGCCAGCTCCTGCTGCTGGGCCTTGATGAACGTCGCCGACCGCTTTGCTGGCGATTATGGAACCCAGACCAACCCTCTTTCCAAGCACTTTGGTGAGAGCGTCAAGTCTCTTCTTACTCTTACCGAGAGGTATGGTCTCCATCCTGTGGCACCCTTGATTCGCTGCTAACCTAACCGACAGGCACGATGCCGATAATCAGCTTCGCACCGCTGGCTACGAGGTGCTCAACTCCTTCGTCAACAACGCTGCCATCGACAGCCTTCCCCTGGTTGGAAACCTTTCCGATGTTATGCTTCAGCGCTTGGATCACACCATCGGCATGCAGCAGCAGGTGGTCAGTGTTGAAGACCGTATCACTCTGGAAGAGATGCAGACTAGTATCATCAGCGTCATTCTCGTAAGTTCGCTTTGATTCTCACGCATATTATTCCGTTCGCTAACCAGAAAGGCCGTTGTTCAACGCCTTGAAACCGAGATCAAGCCCCAGGCCGACCGCATCATGGAGCTTATGCTTCGCGTACTTTCTACTGTCCCGCCCAAGTCTAGCGTTCCTGATGTGGTATTCGCCACTGTCGGTGCTATCGCTAGTGCCATGGAAGAGGAATTCGCCAAATACATGGAGTCTTTTGCCCAGCCTCTGTACAATGCTCTCAGCAACCAGGAAGAGCCTGGTCTGTGCTCTATGGCGATTGGATTGGTCAGCGATATCGCTCGTGCCCTGAATGAGAAGATCCAGCCCTTCTGTGATGGTTTCATGAACGCTTTGCTTACCGTTTTGCGGGTAAGTTGTCAGTCTCGGTAGTTCTATAAGCGTTCAACTAATTTTTTCCAAGACCTGCGGCAATCAGCTCAAGCCTGCTATCCTTGAGACGTTTGGAGATATCGCTCAGGCTATCGGCACTCAGTTTGATACCTATCTTCAGGTTGTCGCAACTGTTCTCCACCAGGCCGCGGCCGTGACTGCCAGCGATGATGTTTCTCTTGACGCCATCGACTACATCATCTCCCTCCGTGAGGGTATCATGGATGCTTGGGGTGGTATCCTTTTGGCCTACAAGGGCAAGCCTCAGAGTAAGCATTGCGTACTACCCCTCCGCATGTGCTTTGCTAATATCATTTTCCAGTCTCTCACATCACACCTTTCGTCGACCACATCTTCCAACTGCTTCACACCGTTTCTCAGGACATCAACCGCAGTGAGGGCTTGATGAGGGCCGCCATGGGTGTTCTTGGGTAAGTTAACACTGTCCAAAACAGCCCTGTGAATTCTAGCTAAACTCGCTGTCAGTGATCTTGCTGAGGGCTTCCCCAACGGCGAATTCTCCAACTACTTCCGCAACGACTGGGTCACTGCCCTTGTCCGCGAAACCCGCCAGAACCGTGATTATGGACCTCGTACCATTGACACTGCCCGCTGGACCCGTGAGCAAGTCAAGCGCCAGATCAACATGTCGACTGCTGCCGCTATGGCTTAAGTGACAAGTATCAAATGCCCTTCCGTCATTGATCTTTCACTCGACAATGTGCCCCCCCCTACAGGACGCCGCCAGCTGTTGGCGCACCGAAGGAAGTAACGCCGTGGCGACGCTGGCCTCATTGGCTGTTGGACCTGCATTCTACGGATCCGGGTAGCTCCCAGATTGCTCATTCATCCAATGACCGTATTTTCAGTCTATCATACTGCGAATAGGGTCGATCTTTTCGCCGTCACCGTCCCCAACTCCACTCCCCCCTGAGCACCCTGTACCAACTCTCTCACCCTCGCCCAAGTTTATTCCCCTACCATCCGCACCAAAACCTCCCCCCTCCCCTTGCCCATGTTGCCCCAGCGTTCAGGATGTCCGTCCGGTGCAGTTGACTGCTTTTCGGACTCTTCCTTTCCATGCCATCTCACAGTGCATGTTGGCACCATTCATCGGCCTTGCGTTCTCCACCTTTCTTCACCCCTATTATTACCATTACCCACCTCCCGATTTTCGTTCCCCCTCACGCCGTTTTTAATTAGACAGAGGTTCTATTAGCATTATCATGTATGCCCAAGAAGTCATGTACCCCCATTCCTATTGTCACGAATTTCACCCTGCCCTTACTCCACCGACCCTTGATCGGATCGAGAAGACATGTATAGAATGATAAACCCATCCGCCTTACTCTCGTATACATTAAAAATATTGTAATGTTGCCCGTATCTTACGGTGGTCATACTAGCAAGCAGCTGTGCATAGTGCATTTGTTGTGCTCCCGTGTTGCAGAATGATTCGCCCGGTCACTGCCAAGCAGAACCACACACCGTGGCAATTAATCTCGGACGAGCAGGTACGACTTATGAGTAAATGATGGAAAGGTCACAATTGTCGAAGCACATTCTTCTCCTGCCATAGAACATTTCGTCTAGCCGGGATTTTGCATCTAGACATGTCATGCCTGTTAAGACACAGTACCGGAGTCCTAGGCTTGACAAACACCATCCGCACATAACCTACATGGTAGACAGCTGTTCTAATCGATGCCTGAGGCATACGGGTCAGTAAGGTCACGTGGGCGAGATAAGGGCACGGATTGACAGCCCTAGGGCCCACCCGCACACCCCATGAAAACTTCTTCACTTTTGTCGGCCGCGTCCGCCTCCATCCCCTTCCTTCGATCTCAACCGACGTCGTCGACACTTCACGAGGTATGTACAACATGTTGCCTCTCCCTGTTCTGCAGCTTCTCAGCTAGTCTGGGAGAGCAATCACCCGGATTCTTTGGTGTTTTTTTTACTTGCAGGTGTAGCAACCGACAGCAATGAAGACAACCAGGAAGGCCGGCGTGATACGCTTCTCCTCATACGGCACGGGCTGAAGAACCCTTCATGGACTGCATCAGGGGCACTCTTTGCGCTCGAGGACTACTGGTGGCTGACTATTGGACTCCGGCAAATCCTCCTCGCGCCTGAAACGGTGCCGAGAGGATCCTAGGTTGGAGTTGTCTTCGATTCAGATACCTCATTTCCCCTCGTATTCCCTCGATTTGAGAATCTCGCTCTCCCACCGTCAAAATGGTCAAGACTTCCGTCCTCAACGATGCGCTCAACGCCATCAACAACGCCGAGAAGAGCGGTCGCCGTCAGGTTCTGATCCGCCCCTCCTCTAAGGTCATCATCAAGTTCCTCTCCGTCATGCAGAAGCACGGTACGTTTTGTCCTATTCGAGTACCGGACACAGGAACATGAATGGGTTTTCGTGAGAATGAGTTCGATCCAAGCGCCGGCATCACAACTAGTAGTCCACAGAATTTCGGGTTGATAACTAGGCGGTCTGTTTCGGATATCATACAACGCTCGCCCTTTAAGTGCCCGATATATTGAAGCCGGCGAGGATCTTACAAGTTTCCGAAACTCATTCTTGATTTCTGTGTTTGGTCTAACCTTTAAATCCGCGCCACAAACCACTGATTCATTTTTCTTTTCCAGGCTACATTGGCGAGTTCGAGGAGGTCGATGACCACCGCTCCGGCAAGATCGTTATCCAGCTCAACGGTCGCCTCAACAAGACCGGTGTCATCAACCCCCGCTACCCCGTCCAGCTCCGTGACCTCGAGAAGTGGACCACCCAGCTCCTCCCCTCCCGTCAGTTCGGTTTCGTCGTCCTGACCACCTCCGCTGGTATCATGGACCACGAGGAGGCTCGCCGCAAGCACGTTGCTGGCAAGCTCCTCGGTTTCTTCTACTAAAAAGTTTCATCTTGCGATGTCCTGAAATGATTGGAATATGACTTGTCATGATGTGGACGAGGGATGTGCTCTCTGTTGCTTGTCTTGGCGGAGAGTTTTCGGAATCGATACCCCCCGGCAGAAACGCCATAGATAGTTTATTGATTTAGAGTGATCTCGTCCAACCAAACAAGGATTTTTCCTGTCGTTTCACCAACCTTTCCATGTTCCTACCGGTAGAGCAGTAGAATCGACCTACCTACCTACCTCGTAGGCATAGTATAAATTTCCCTACGCTCGGACCGAGGCCGACTTCACAATGGCCGCTGACCGCTCGCGCTAGTTATTGTTTCACCCCAGGATTTCCCCCGCAGTCTGCCATCAGGCCCTCTACTGTGCATGCATTGAGGCCACTGTATACCACCATGCCTCTCGACACAATTTACCTCACCCGTCACGGCGTGTGTACTACCATTCTGTCCCTTATGCAACCCATGACTTACTAACCGTGGCTTTCCTACGCCTAGCACCGCCTCAACTGGACGATAGACTACAAGACGGGCACCTACCATGCTCAATTCCCAACCCCAACAGGCAATCCCGCCGATCCCACCCTCACCTCCCACGGCGTGCGCCAGTCCCACGAGCTTGCTGCGCATCTGACCAGCGACAGCATCTATCCGAAACCCTTTCGCGTCTACTGCAGCCCATTCTACCGATGTCTCCAGACAATCCAACCATCCGTGGAGGCCCTGAGAGCGCTCCACCAGAGGACCTGGTCGAACGATGGTACCTCTCCGGCACCCCCAACCGAGAGCACCATCGAACCCCACGCAGACTTCGACGTGCGCATTGAGAACGGTCTAGGGTAGGTGGCAGACCGCAGTCCCCTTTTTCCGACCCTCATCCAACAAACCCTTCCAGCCACTAATGCAGGCATAAAGAGAATGGTTCGGCCACACCACCTTCTTCGAACACCCGCAGCCCGCCCCGCACTCCATCCTAGCCACCCACTTCCCGACCCTCCTCCCTCTCCCGCCTGCGACATCACCGCCCCCGAGTGCACGGGACCAAGGAGGAAACCCCTTCTTCTTCTCCTCGTCGAATCCCCATGTCATCCCCTCCCCCACCGGCGAGACCATCGCCCAACTCCATGACCGCGTCGCCACCGCCCTCTCCGGCATCCTCGCCGACGTCGACGCCGAGATCGCCGCGCTGGAGGCCGCCCAGCCCGCCCACGAGCCCCGCACCAGCAAGGCGATCCTCATCTGCTCGCATGCGGCGCCCCTGATCGCTATGGGCCGCGCGCTGACGGGCCACATGCCGCCGGACCCGAACACCGAGGACTTCGCCGTGTTCACGGCGGGCCTGAGTACCTTTCGCCGCCGCCGCCGTCGCCGCGGCGAGAGCGGGGAGCAGGGTGGTGCTTCGCCCGGGGCGCATGCCGAGGTTCCAGCACTGGCACGGGGCACGAAAGTCCTTCGGGCTGGCACCACGGTCCCGGAGTGGCGTGGCGGCAAAGGAGTCGCTGGTGGGTGGGATTGTGTGCGGAATGGCGACTGTGGGTTTTTGAGCCAGGGGGCTGAACGAGGGTGGTTCGTATATTCCTTTTTTTTTCTGTTTTGTTGTGGTTCGGTTTTGTGGGTGAGGGGACCTGGAATTTTGGGCTAACGGGTGTTACGTTTTCCTTGTAGGCACTTTGATGGAGAAGAAGGGTTTGATACGGGGCCGATGGCGCCGGAGGAGGCGGGGCCGACGTCGAGTTTGGATACTATGGCTAGTGCCGATGGGGTAGGTGAACGGGGCACGAAATTGTAACACTGATGCGTGGTCTCAGATTGGGGGGGGGGGGGTGTTGGAGTGTAGATACTGAGAGGAAGAGATGTTACTGGTAGGGAGGCGTATTTTTTCGCATGATTCCCAGTTGTCACCGGCACTACTCTGATTAAGGGAGTATAGATATGTCCTAGACCATGTCTGACTGAAAAAGCAAGGGCAGACTACAGTTACATATCAACGAGTATAATCAATTCTGAGGCTAAAGGCTTAAACGCGTGGCGAGTTCAAAGGAAATATGTCGCATGTAAGCCAAACGAGGATAACGTACAGTGAGAAAAAAAAAAGGGTGAAGTCAGTGGCAATATGGCTGATGTTTTGCTACATCAGTTTTCGGCTGCCTGGGGTATCATAGGGTGGTGACCTTCACTTTGCGCTACATCCACGTTGTGCTCCTGCTCTTCTTGCTGCTGCTGCTGCTGCTGCTGCTGTGCTTCCTCGCGTTGACGACGCTCTTCCTCCTCTCGTGCGCGCTGCGCAGCTTCCGCAGCATTGCGCACCGCAACCTGGCGCTCGCCTACTCCGGGCACCAAGCTTGCAATGAACAACGCCACAGATCGCTCCACCCTCCGCAGCTGATGACGCATTTCACCCGCAACCCCTGTGCGGGGATTGCCGTTCGTTGGGCCACCACCACCACCACCACCACCACCAACAGCACCCTGGTCACCCTGGCCTCGGGCCTGAGCCGGCTCATTAGGGGTTAGATGAACCAGACCTTCGAGGTGTTGCTGCACCGGAGCCACAAACAACTGGTACAGTCGCTGATCCACCCCGGTTTCCGAGGATAGCACGAAGAGCACGGCCAGCGTCACAAAGAACACGCGCGCCCAAGTCCCAGGTTCGGTGAACATGTAGCAGAAGAAGTATAGCCGGACGAACTGCCACAGCCGTCGCATGATCCGCGCAAAGCCCAGTTGTCCGTTCTGGTTGGGGTTATTGTCGAGTCCCCGCTGGTTGAGCACGGCCCGGCGAACGACATTCTCCAAAACGGCTGCGTTCGCGTTGGGGCGGATCTCAGCCACCGGAGCAGTAGTATCTTGGTTTGGGGTGCGATTTGGAGGGTGAGTTGCGCGAAGCCTGTCGATGGTGGCTTGCATAGCCTCTGCCCCTTGGGGCGAGGAAAGGAGCCCCTGGTATCCGGACGGGGATGATAATAGATACAAAGAAGCTGGTCCAGGTGCGGACGTAGCGGTCGCAGCACTGGCTGATGCGTTCTGCAAGCGCGGAAACCCGGCTTCCGACAAGCGGAGCTGGTGGGCGCGCGTGTATATATTAAAGACGCGGGACAGCAGCCCTTCGATTGACCCATCCCGTTCAGCAAAAGGGTTCATACACTGTTCATCCAGGATGGTGAGTAAATGTGTTCGGATTCTGATAATGTGTTCCATCGGAGGCGCAATGCCGCGATTTAGCTGGCTTTCTGCTAATTCCACTTGACGCCTCGATATCTGCAAGCACTCTTCCGTTATTAGGGCGCTAGGGAGGGACGCTGTGTTTGAAACACCAGTGGCTGCCACTGTTTCGGATGAGGATGTCTGTGGCATTTCTGAGCGTGTTGTAGACACCAAGGACGATCGATCTGGCCACGTTGATCGCTGCTGCTGGGCGGCCGAAAGAGCTGGGTTCAAGCTGGACGAGAAGGCGGTTGTGCCTCCCGATAGGTTGCCTCGATCCCGCATCTCGATCTGTCGGCGAATTATCTCAATGTTGCGTCGCAAGGCCAGTCCGATCTCGGCTTCAGACGCGCCTGTGCGCTCTGGCTCAGCTCTGGATGTGGATGGCTCAGGTCGCAGGGTCATCGATGGAAGGTGAATAGCCGAACCCGGAATGAATTGTGGTTGTTGCGGACCAGGAGAGCTGAGGTTGCGTGGTGCCGAAGATTCAGGAGATGGAGGAAGAACAAGATGGATGGAATATTCGGTGGCCTTTACGAATTTCCAGTCAGCTAGGATATAACCGATGGATTGCAAGCACAATCAAAGAATCAAGTTCTCTTACATTAGGCGGCTCCAGTACATCTCTCATCGCTGCCGCATCATTCAGAAGTGGCTTTCCACGATAGATCAAACGTTGGCTGTCCGGAGACGGCTGGCTCGGAATTGATCCTGCGAGTCGAGCCTTCAGATTCGCGACAGTTGTAGATGGGGACACATCTTGGATGGTGTACCGATTGGGAGGAGGCAATGATGGACACAAGACATGCAAGGTGAAGCTCTCGGGCGAGTCCGATGATGCACTTGGAATGTCTGCGGTTGACGCCATCTTTTATGCTGGAATTTTGGCGCTGTTCAGAGATCGATAAATTCACAGGCACATAGTCATAAGTTGTAGAGCGGTTTCACATCGAGCACGCTGCCAGATAAATTGGTTCGAGAAGCACTTTGATAAGGCAATCTGTCTTCCGCCGCGGAGGTACAGTACTACGGTGTCCTTTTCAGTGGCACCAGGTCTAGTTTGCACCCACAAGACGACTTAGATGATGCACAGTTTTGCGTACCACGTATAGGTGAGGGACTGTCTTCAACGAACGGTGCAGAGCTAAACAACTACAACAAAACAACAAAAGATTGCGGATAAAGATGATGACAGGATGAGGACCGTAACTATAGACGAGCCACCAAACAAATGGCGGCGACGGCCCATTCTGCCGGGCGGTGAAGATGCGTCTTGCCGATCACGTTCAGGAAATGAGGATTGCTGCTTCTGCACTTCGCCATAAAAGCCCCATTTTCACAATTCCACACCTTACTTGTGCCGGTTAATCGTATTTTTTCGTATTTTTCACGTGCCTCCGCCTCGGTTATTGCCCCCCTCTGGGATGACTCTCACCCAGTAGAGTCGCATTATGGCCCTGTGCCTGTCCATTTATTCTGCGCTGCTTCGCCGGAAGGTGTTAATTTCCCCTCATGTGGAGAGGGCTGGATTGATGGAAGTGTCGTTGAGGGCTACTGGTCGTCGCCCGGCCGGTGCTCGCCACTTTTCCAAGACCTGGAAACAGTCCCAGAATCAGGATCAAAAACAAAACCCGTCTCGTCGCAGCACATTCGGCTCCCGACTCCGTTTCGCGCTCCGCAACACCAAAGTCGAATGGTACCCCATCCCCGTCGGTCTAGGCATCGGCCTGCTCGGCCTGCTGCAGTTTTATAAGGCTCAGCGGGCTGAAAGAGAGCGAGCTGAACGAGAGGCAGCTGGAGAGCCTTTCGACTTCCAAAATGCCCCTGCTCGTCCCAAACATCGACTCAGCGGACCATGGCAGGTCCAGATTATGTCCACCTTGCCCCTGAAAGCTATGTCCCGACTCTGGGGTCGCTTCAATGAAATCGAACTGCCCTACTATTTCCGTGTTCCTGGCTTCAAGTTGTACTCCTGGATCTTTGGCGTCAACCTTGACGAGGTCGCCGAACCCGACCTTCACACATATCCCAACTTGGCCGCGTTTTTCTACCGTCAGCTGAAACCCGGTGTTCGACCCTTGGATCCAGATACCCGTGCAATCATCGCGCCTTCCGATGGACGAATCTTGCAGTTCGGACTCATTGAGCGGGGCGAGGTCGAGCAGGTCAAGGGCGTTACTTACAGCTTGGATGCCCTTCTGGGATCTGCCACTCCAACCCACGCGGACCACACCAAGACTTTCAGCGACCATCAGACCGAGCCAACCCAGAAGAATGAGGCTAAGATGCTGGCTGATGAGGAATTTGCCGAGATGAACGGTATCTCCTACACGCTACCGACTCTGCTCGCAGGCGAACCGGGAGGCGCACGGCAACGCTCGGCCTCGATGGATGCGTCTACTACTTCCAAGGTTGATGCTGAAGAAGAGGTGAAGGCGGACTTGGCCCGTGGCGATGGAACTCCGTGGTACGCCCCGAAGGCGGCCGCCAACCACGCGCTCTACTATGTTGTCATTTACTTGGCTCCTGGTGACTACCATCGCTTCCACTCTCCTGTGCCGTGGGTGGTGGAGAGCCGCCGTCATTTCGCTGGCGAACTGTTCTCAGTTTCACCATATCTTCAGCGCCATCTTCCGGGTCTCTTTACCCTCAACGAGCGTGTCGCCCTATTGGGTCGTTGGCGTTGGGGATTTTTCAGCTATACGCCTGTGGGAGCGACCAACGTGGGCTCGATCAAGGTCAACTTCGATGCGGAGCTGCGTACCAATAGTCTGACTACGGATACCGCTGCCGACAAAGCCGCTGCAGAAGCCGCAGCGCGCGGCGAGCAATACCCAGGATTTGTTGAAGCGACCTACCGCCATGCCAGTCGCACCCTGGGAGGACATCCTCTTCAGCGTGGTGAGGAGATGGGAGGCTTCCAGCTGGGAAGTTCGATCGTGCTGGTGTTTGAGGCCCCCATGGGCACTCGCAAGTCGTTCGATGCCGGCTGGGAAGAGGGCAAACGCGAGGGAGGTTGGAACTGGACCATCGAAAAGGGACAGCGGATCAAGATGGGCGAGAAGATCGGATATGTGGACATTTAAAATTAGACTTGGTCGCTCTTAATTGTTTCTGTATTATAGTACTACATTTGTTGAATAGCGAGAATACTTCGTCGGGCCACCGTCCCCGCGAGCCCATAAAATATATTGTATCTTAGAGCTGAGGACTTCCTCCGAAACACGACCAAGAGAACTAATATAAGTAAAAGATTCCATAGACACTGGGTTTCCTATGCACCCTGTCAGCATTGAACTAACCTGCAGACCATCCTCATCATTTGCTGAGGCTTAATCTGTGTCCGTCAGAAGCTCATTACTCTCGACTTGACCAACGTGTTAATGCGGGACGACAATTGCCGGGCTAACTTATCGCGCATTGCGATAACCGATAAGCCAGCACGTGATTGATAACAGACGCGGTCCCCATCGCAGCTTCACCTTTTCTCCCCTCGAGTCCATAAATCAAAACAATAGCATTCAACCACCGCGTCAGTCAGGTTGGGAGTCATGGCCATACGATAATTGATACCCCATACCACACAAGTCAGACGTTTTAGCTCAAGGGCACTCTCACCATGCCGCGCCACCACCATATCCTCCGCCGCAACCACAACCAACCCGACACGTCCTCCCCATCGGACCTTCAATATCAACAGCGACAACAACAACACCACCAGCAACAGCAACAGCAACCACCTCCAGCGCCCCAACGGATCAACCGCGCCCGTCTCGGCCAAAGCCACCATGAAACCCCCACCTCCCAGTTCCAGACTCCCCCCTCGCGCGGCTTTCCCATCCCCCGACTTCACCCCTCCTCGGGACCCATAGACGACCCAACCCACCCGCTGCATAGTCACCAGCAAGCCCAACAAGCGCAGCAGCAGCAGCAGCAGCAGCAGCAGCAGCGCCAACAACACCCTGCCGCCGCCGCCGCACAAGTCGCATTGTTCTCGCTGTTCGGACGCGGGGTCCACGGCCGGGGCCACGGGGATCCACGGCACCAACACCCGCCGCACGACCGGATGGAGCGGGATGAGGAGGAGGACGACGAGGAAGAGGACGAGGACGAGGACGAGGACGAGGACATCGATGATTCAATGCAGCAGCATCGGTATCCCTCTTCTCATCGACATCTCCGCCATGGTCATCGCCATTATCATGGTGTAGGCGAGACGGGCCATGACTCGGAGAGAGAAGTGGACGAAGACGACCGGAGACTCAGTCTTCATACCGCGGATGACGGAGGGGAATTCGAGGCCGATGAGGAGGAAGAAGAAGAAGAAGAAGAGGATGAGGATATGCTCGCGGATCCGGAAGTCGATGATGGCGATGAGGAGATGTTAGGCGAGAGAGGTAAGCTGTTTCTTTTCCGCCCCTTTCCAATTCAGACTATATCTGCAGCCTCCCCCATCCCCAGTTTTCGAGAGCTGAATGGAAACAACGCATCTAGATAAATCCCCCACCCCGCTCCCCGCCAACCTCCGCGAGATCTCCTCCCTCGCCTCGTGGACCGTCTCCACTCACAAGCCGGGCTGCGGTGTCAGCGCCCTCCGCCACCCGTCCCCGGCCCAGTACTGGCAGTCCGACGGCCCGCAACCCCACACCCTGACCCTGCACTTCTTCAAGCTCGTTGCCGTGGTGCGCATCCGCGTGTACCTGGATTTCGAGATGGATGAGAGCTATACCCCGACCAAGATGGTGTTTCTGGCTGGCATGGGAGGCAATGATCTCGTCGAGTTCGCGACCTGGGAGGGTGAGGGGCCCTGCGGGTGGGTGGATGTGGAGTTGGAAGGGGTCGGCGGGAGGAATACGGTGCATTCATTTGGGGAGGCCCCGAGTGGAGGGAGTAGGAGGAGGAGGAAGGGGATGGGAGCGAGGGGGAAACGGAAGGGGATGGGGGTCACGGGTAGGAGAGAAGCTACGAGTTATGTTGGTAAGGGGAAGGGGAAGGGGAAAGGGAGGGACGTGGGCCACGGGGATGAGGATGATGTGATGATGGATCAGGACGACACGGAGGAGAGTCTGTATGAAGATGCGAGGGCTTATCGGAATGAGGAGGAGGATGACGATGACGAGGAAGATGACGACGACGACGAGAACGATCCGTATGCTGGGAACGTGCTCAAGGCCATGGTCATTCAGATGAAGGTGACCGAGAACCATCAGAATGGCAAGGACACTCATGTCCGTGGCTTCCAGGTTTTTGCACGCGATGACGAGCGCAAGAGGCTGGCCAATGCCCCGTCGGCGTCGGCGGATGGCAGAGTGCGACGTCACAGTGCGCGTCGTTCATTGCGGGGGAGTACGCATGATGAGATGGCTGAGGGAGCCGGTGGTGGAGGACGTGAACATGCAGTTGCTGACGCTGAGCGCGCCGTGACGGGAGTGGTGACCAGTCTGGAGGAGCCGGATTGGATGGGCGAGCCGGTCATTAGGTAGCTGGTAGGTGGTGGGCGTTCGCTTGCATCGCATTTGTATCGGAGTTGGCTGGTAGATACCCTTATTCTGTCTATTTGAACGTTTTTTTTCTTTTTTTCTACGAAGCAATAATCTTCTATACGCGAGGAAGAACATGAGAGTTTGGTATTAATATGGTCATATCTCATTCGGCATTCGCTGCCCCCGAAACACACAACTCAGCTGAGAACAAAAGAAAGAACTTTTATGCCTTTTACAACAACTTCTCCAACTCAGCAGCGACGGCATCGCCGACTTCGCTGGTGGTTGCCTTGCCGCCGATATCGCCAGTACGGAGACCGGACTCGATCACGTTGCGAACGGCGGCCTCGATGGCGCGGGCCTCGTCGAACCGGCCGAAGGAGTACTGCATCATCATAGCAACCGAGAGGATGGCGGCGACGGGGTTGACAATGCCCTTTCCGGCGATGTCGGGGGCAGAGCCTTTGGGGGCACCGTTAGCATCGGGATACAACACTGGGTCCACAAACGGAGGAAGGGAAAACATACCGTGGATGGGCTCGTAGATACCGTTGACACGGCTCTTGCCGTCGGGGATACCGCTCAGACTGGCACTGGGCAACAGACCCAGGGAGCCGGGGATGACACTGGCCTCGTCGCTGATGATGTCACCGAAGAGGTTGCTGGTGACGACGATACCGTTCAGCTGGCGGGGGTTCTTGACCATGATCATGGCGGCGGAGTCGATCAACTGGTGCTCGATCTTGAGCTGGGGGAACTCCTTGGCCATGACCTCGGTGACGGTCTTGCGCCACAGGCGGCTGGTGGCCAGCACGTTGGCCTTGTCCAAGCTCCACACGGGGAGAGGGGGGTTGTGCTGGAGGGCCAGGTGGGCGGCCAGGCGGGTGATGCGCTCGATCTCGGCGCGCGAGTAGGGCTCCGTGTCCATGGCGTATCCGCTGCCGTCGTCCTCCTTGCGGTCGCCGAAGTAGATCCCGCCCGTCAGCTCGCGGATGATGTTGAAGTCGACGCCGCGGCACACCTCCGCCTTGAGCGGGGAGTGGTCGACCAGCGAGGGAGCGGCGAAGTTGCAGGGACGCAGGTTACCGAAGGTGCCCATCTCCTTGCGGAGCTTCAGGAGACCCTGCTCGGGACGGACGGCGCCAGTACCCCATTTCTGTAGGATATAGTATATTAGCCGGTGGGCGGCATGGATGGTGACGCGCGGACTGGGTTACGTACGGGGCCACCGATAGCTCCCAGGAGCACGGCATCGGCGTTCTTGGCCGCGGTCAGGGCCTCGTCAGTTAGGGGAGAGCCACTGGCGTCAATGGAAGCCTAAACTTGAGGTCAGAAGCTATATCAACACTGTCGAAGGGTTCGCACATACACCGCCCAGCAGATGATCCTGAAGGTTGAGGGTGATGTCGTCACGCTTCTTCTCAATGACGCGAAGGACCTGATCAGAAGTGAAAGTCAGCATGCATTGCAAGAGTACTTGGCTTCCACAGCTCATTGGGAGGTCACTAAGCTGTTTGCAGCGTTATGGGTGGTTGACTCACCTTGATGGCCTCAGCGGTGACCTGTGAAGTACGTATACGTCAGTCTATGAGCTCCCTAGCGCGGGGTTCCAGGACGGCAGCTCTTACCTCGGGACCGCAGTGGTCACCGGCAAAAACGACGATGTTGAAAGTAGACATGGCGAATGGGAGACGAAGGGAGTGAAGGGGGATATTGAGTCAGAATGTTAGAATTCAAAAGATAGCGAGAATGAGAAAGGAGCGGATAAATATACGATCTGGCGGGGGGGAAATGCAAGCCTCCCCCGCGCCGACACCGGAGTCATTGCCGGCACTAGCCGAGACCGGCTAGAAGCTTGAGAGCCGCTGCCCGTAAATTTTACTCCGGGGTATAAACAGACCGAGCTTGGAATGAGAAAGCCACAAGGGAAAAGATAAAAGTGATAATATTAGTAGCGAAAGTAGACACGGGTTGGAAGAAGCTGTGTGAATGCGAAACACAGCGGAGAACATAATATAGGAAAGAAACGAAATAGTTAATAGGTAAACAATGCGCCGAGAATCATTCACCCTTTTGTCCAGAGACAGATAGTCTCCCCACAGACTCATATGCCACAATTTCCTCCCACCACATACATATATGGAAACTACCAGAAAGACACCCGGGCTATTGGCCCCTGTTGACAGAACCGACCAGAGCACCAGAACCATGCACGGAAGAAAGTAAAGATAAAACGACCCGTCCAGCAAAGACCGCCGTCCGGCCGACCGGAGGCATCCGGAGAAGAAGCGAGCTCGAAGGCATTGAAACGGTTGACTCGACAGTTGACTCGAAGAAAAGAAACATCTGGAACCACCATCGGCGCCCGACATGACCGGCCTTAATTGTTCTTGGCCGCCCGCAGAGCCTTCCGGCTGGCCAAGTCACCTTCAGCCAGCCACTTGCTGGCCTTGACCAACTGCACGACGTTGATGAACTGCTTGAGCGCCATGACTGGGAAGGAGATTCCGGTAATAACCCAGGGCCAGAAGCTGTCAATCTTGTTCGCACGAGCCAACTCAAGGGCGCCTGCACTCCAAGGGCTGGAGTACCCCTCCGGAGGGGGAATGGTCGTGTCGCCAGCCGGGCCCCCAACCTTGGGTTGAAGCAGGGAAGGAGAGAGCGTGGGCGAAGAGAAGGAGAGCAAGTAGAGACCGATGAAGAACAGCTCATTGAGAGCGCAGCAAATGAACAGGACCGTCTGTGCACCATATTAGTATGCTGACCTGGACGTAGAAAGACCGGAAGAAACTCACCCGACTGTGGTAGTACTGGTACAGGACCCAGCTGCGGCTGGAGTCGACTTTCTTGTGGCTCTGGCTGGAGCCTCCCATGCTGAGCGTCGCGTACATGTGCATGTAGTGACTGGCCATATCCAACGCAATAAGACTCTGGAAGACGATCGACCACCGGGGCCAAGCTGAGCTGAGGAACACCAGCAGACACGCCGTTGTGCACCGATCCGTCACCATGTCCAGAACGGCACCGAATGTAGTCGACTGGTTGAAGTATCGTGCCGCATATCCGTCTAGGGCATCCAACAAACAGGACACACTGTAAAGGAGGGAACATGTCCGCGGATGCAGGGGCATGTAATAAAGCGAAGCCATTGTCAACACCACACGCGCATAGCCTAGTTTCCCCGCCATGTGTTAGACCCAAACCTAGTATTTCCACGGAGGACATGTATCTCTCACCAATCAAGTTCGGCGCGAATAGGAAGACGTTTTCTTGCACTTCTCCATCCGCGGCAGCTTCCGGGCCATTTTTCGATGAAGGCTGGAGCGTTCCATTGACGGCGGGTGACGGATCCGTGGCTTCCAGCTCAGCGGAGGCCTTCTGGCTTCTGGTGCGCGGGCTCATTTTCACTCTGAGGTTGATTATGTGGAAGAAGCTAAGGAGAATGAATATGATGGATGGACGAAGGTGTAAGACCGAGAGGGGGCTTGTTCCGGGAGTTTCCACAGGGTACACCCAGCGATCGATAGGAGGAGATAATGAATATAGAACGAGATACTGGGACAACGACTTGATGATTCAAAAAAAAATGTTAGCAGGGTACCAGACAGTAATCTCAAATTAAGAATAATAAATTCCGAAATATTAGGTTGGGGAAGGATGGATCCGCGAAGCTCGTGGATATATTGATCTCCTGAATTAAAGCTCTGAAGCACACGTACCAGTTTATTGTCCTGACGCGCTTTTGATTGTTGCGTTCGGCGAGCAAAGAGACTGCTCCAGAGTGTGATGAATATGAGTTAAGCTTAGGAAGCAGCAGCAGCAGCACCCTAAAGAGCAAAGGCGCACAAAGAAGGCAGCGTAGAGAGGAAAGAGTGGAGGGTCGAGGGGAAAGTTGTTGGTTCAGGAGAGGGTCGATGAGGTGAGTCGGGTCGCCGCCGCTCTGATTATTGCTTGGCTGTCCGAGTGAGCGCGGTCGATAAGCTGCGGTGATAAGCGGTTGCGACCGTCAACTTACTGCTAGGCTTCGACCTCAAACACCTGGAAGACCAATAGGCAGTTTTGGGAGCTGCATTGAGTTCATTCGCATTCATAGAGAGTAATTATCACAAGTCAATCATTGAGGAGATAGGCATTTTGTACCTCGCAAGCTTCTGATGCTGCTTGCGGCTACAAGCATTCCTTTCCGCTCCGGGCGCGGCTTCAGTGTTCATTCTAGGGTGACGGTCTTCCATTGCGGTGTGAATGGGACACAGGTCGCATAGACGAGGCCTGAGAGGGAAATAGAGAAACAAATAGTATGATCATGTTCTGCGTGTGTATGTACAAGATGCAGCAATAACAGAAATTCCGCCCTTCGGATCAGTCGGTCCGACTCGACATCAGAAGTGTACGGATCAGAATGTGAAACTATATACAGAAAGAACCACCTCTTCCTTCGCTCTATCAGAATCTAGCATTGTCATCATCATCGTCGAGACCGCCGAGGATCGGTTGCATCTTGTCGCCGCCAATCGCGCGCCTCCTTCGTGCCCATACTGCCTAATCCACCCTCCAGCCGACGTTCCCAGCCGCCTAAGCGAACAACCAGGCAGGTGGCGTTATCCCCGTCGCGCGTCACTTCAGTTGCGAAGCTGACAACATCACGAGCTCCCTGGTCCGGCGTCTTGGCTTCCTTGATGATATCTACGACTTCCTGATCTGGTAGCGTACCGCTGATGCCGTCCGACATCAGCACCAAGAAAGAAAATTCAGCTGGGCCCATTTCCACCCGACGAATTTCGGGCTCGGCCGACACGCCAATGCGTTTGGATTGCATATCGCCAAATGCTCGCGTGTTTGCCAGCCCACTCATGCGCTCCTCTCCGAAAGAATCCGTGACAAAGGTGGTGGCATAACGACGGAGCCGGCTGGCCTCAATCGGCGAGGAGGGATGATGGTTGGATGTTAGGGGAATCGCCTGGCCAGTTTCAGTCGAGCACAATAGGATGCGAGTATCTCCAACGTGTGATACAAGGAGACTAGACGGGGCTCCTGGATGCCAGAAAGGAGCTGGCGTGGGTGTGGAGATGAGGGCCACACT